TGGGAATGGTTGGACTGGATGAGCTTAAAGGGCTTCTCCAACCTGGCTGATTCTTTGACAGACTGCTGACTCTCAGAGGCTCTGTCTCAGAGCTGGATGACTGCATGTCTAAAACAATACATATTGAGGCTTCTCTTGTGTTTGGGTGTTGCTTGATGCTTCATTGCAGAGCTTGGCTTGGAATGCCTTCCCCTCCATGGGGACATCCATTTGGATCTCTTTCCTTCATGCAGACACATCTTTGCAGGACACTTACACAAACATGTTGTAATGCACCAGAACAAAAGGCTGGCACAGATCCCACTACGAAAGGCACTTGGACTGTGTATAAAAATATCTTTTATTGGTGAGAACAGGAAAAGAAAAAAGGGATAATACAGATAAGCTCATGTCCCTTCAGATGGTGGGAACCTCAGGAAGAGCTGTGGAATGGACAGATCTGTGCCCCAACCAGAGGTCCAACTGATGCTGTACAGTTCAGTGCTCCCTGCACATGAAGGGACATTAAGATTGTCTCTGCCATCCTCTGTTTTCCTTCTCATGTTGTTACCAATAAAAGGCTTTAATCAATACTTTAGGGAGTCAGAGTCCTTTTCTTACAGGGATCCACAACAAACACTTGCTCTGGTACATTACATGAGTGGAGCTCCACATCAGTGGACAGCCCTTCAGCAGCTCAGCACAGCAACAGCTCTTCAACTGCCAGCTTGCAGTGAGGGAAGGATGTGGCCAGCAGCCAGGATTTACAACCCTGAATCTACAGGAAGCATCAGACGAGAGAGAGCAACGAGCAGCAACAAAGCCAAACCCCAACCCCAAATCCCAGCAGAGATGCAGATGTTGTGCTCCACAGGGGTGAGGTTTATCCCTTGAATTCTTCAGGAGAGGTGACAATCACACTGGGAATGTGCTGGAAAAAAGCCTTATCAGGTCATATATCATCACGGAAATTCCCCATTAAAAAAGGATAAATTCCAGCATCTTCGGGGCTCCTGGCAGCCCACAAGGATTCAGCAGCACAACTGTGGGTATCAAGTGGAGGGGGAGCAGCTCAGCTGTCAGTTACCACTTTATATCCAGAAAAGACTAACCTATGAGAATAACAAAGCAGGAAACTAATACTTCAAGCAGGAAAATTCACCCCATTTTGCATGAGTTCAGAATCTGTGAATGATGCTACCATAAGTGTCAAGAGCTCATTGAAAAGGCCACCTTCCTCCCAGAATGCCATGGCAGAAAACTTACCAAGTCCTTCTCCTGGAGTTTTTCTATTAAGTGATCCATTTTATATTGCTCCTTATTTGATATTTCTACTTCATAGAGACTGAAGTAAACACCCTGAAAGCAAACTGCAGACAAAAGAGAGAGAATGTGATGTCAAAATAGTGCTTCTTGCATGAACTCTGAACAAAGAAGTGCTCCTGCACCAGGAAAATGAGTGCACAATGGGTGGCAGCACCGGGGTTTAGCAATACTTCCTAAGCTGGTATATGCAGTCACAGCACAGTGAGTTTCCTCTTCAGCCCATGCTTCACAGGAGATCTTTCCTATCTTATCTTTTATCTCTTACCTCTAAGAAAAGCTATTTAAGCAACGCTGTATGCTTCAACAGCCAGGGAGCCTTTCAGAGAGAATTATCTCATTCTAATGTGGCTAATTCTCCCCTGCTATGAAGCATCTTTCTTTCACACTGATCCTCAAGGGATGTTAACAAAGGCGAGATCTGGACCCACACCCCTCTGAATATCACAACAGGATTCTTCTGCTTGAGTATTTCCTCTCTTTCACCAGTTGATCTTAAGATTGTTGCTCCAGGGCACCTTCACCAAGGAGGCCACCTTGCTGTGGCCTCCCCCCAGTTCTCCAGCATCCTCCCAGCAATATCCAGAATCCATCTGCACTGTAAGCTGACCCCCAAAATAGCTGGTCAGTGCCCCAGCCTGGCTCAGCAGAGGTAATGGGAGGCAGCACTGCAGCAGCCCACACTTACTTTGGTGTCAGACAGAATCATAGAATCAGCTAAGTTGGGAAAGACCTTTAAGATCATCAAGTCCAACATGGATTTGATCAAGTCCAAGATGACATGGAAACGCACCTGGAGCTTCTACAAATCACATCCAGAGCTCTCCATGCACAACCTAAGCTATCCATGTCAGTGAGTGTCTGCTGCAATGCACAGCACCTCACAGCTATGGGGAGTTTGACACCATGGGGTTGAGAGTTGCCAGGCTCATTACACCTCCAGCCCAAACCCCAGCCAGCAACACTCCAGCTGCGCAGGGCACTGGTGAGGCTGCACCTCGAACCCTGTGTTCAGCTCTGGGCCCCTCACTGCAAGAGAGACATTGAGGTGCTGGAGCGGGGCCAGAGAAGGGGATGGAGCTGGAGCAGGGCCTGGAGCACAAGTGTGATGGGGAAGGGCTGAGGGACCTGGGGGGTTTAGTGTGGAG